GTGGGGGCCACTAGGACAGGCGCGGGGCCGACTAGGATGGGCGCGGGAGCCGATAGGACGGGCGCGGGGCCAGCTAGGACGGGCGCGGGGCCAGCTAGGACGGGCGCGGGGCCGGGAATGATGGGCGCGGAGGCCGGTAGTACGGGCGCGGGGGCCGTTAGGACGGGCGCGGGGGCCGTTAGGACGGGCGCGGGGCCAGCTAGGACGGGCGCGAGGGCCGTGAGGGCGGGCGCGGGGGCCAGCGAGGACGGGCGCGGCGGGCACAGCTAGGACGGGCGCGGGGCCGGCTAGGACGGGCGCGGCGGGCGCAACTAGGACGGGCGCGGGGTCGACTAGGACGCGCGCGGGGGCGGCTAGGGCCTAGGGCGGAAGCGTGGGCGGGCGGCGGGACCTACCTACTGCTGATACCATCTTAGAACTGAGAGAATGAATGACTAGAGAGTGAGAGTACAAATGAATATACCTAAGTGTTGTACCCTCTAAGAGGCAACCCTATACAGTCTATACAAACATTAGAGATACACATGTTTGATACTTCTTGTTGTGGTAAATGAAGTTTTGCATTCCTGCAAGTTCTGTTTTTGGTGTAGCTAGTAGTATCGAGTTTCTCAGTAAGTAGCCATGCCCGAGTGCTTATGTCAGCAAAGCATGTTAGGAAGATTCTAATGCACTACTATGTTAGGAAGATTCTATACTTAGTCTTCCGCAGCACCTGTCGAAGTATTACAATTTGTTCTTCAACAATAGACCAATCGCATCCTCCCCTTCTCGACTTCATCCTTGATGAAAAAGTAACGCAGAGAAATATGTTTCGTCTTGTTGACGAAACCAGGCTGATGCGCGATGCGAATTGCACTTTGGTTGTCGCACTGCAGGGTGAACTGAGTAGTTGTCGTTAACTTCGCTAAACCGACGTCAGGAGTCGAGACGAAATATTGAAGCGCGCGGAGAAGATGAAGGTGGTGCTCCTCTTCAGGACGGCGTAGGAACTGAGCGAGCTGACTAGCCACGTAGGCTAGATCTGGACGACAAGTAACAGCGGCGAAGCGTAAACAGCCTAACTGCTGTTGATAGGTCTGTAAACCGGTTGAGTTTAATGGTGCAGTGTTCGGTTTGTGATCAATCGGTAGTGAGCGGTACGGTGTAGAAACTGTAGTACGAGTAAGATTGAAGCGGGCAGCGAGCGTCGCTGCTTACTTAGAAGCAGTGAGATGAATAGACGTCGGTAAACAGGTAACGTTCAGACCAAGGAACTGTAAGACTGTTTCGGAGACTGTAAGCTGTAGAGTTTTCTGTAGTTTCAGTATGAAGATATCGGCGAGCAAATCAGTAGTGCTGACGTAGAGAATGTCGTCGCCGTAGGCGACGAGTAAAATATAGTTGTTGCCGTCGGTCAGAAGATACATTCCCTGGTCATGCGGTAGCTATCGAAATCCGGCAGTGATCAGCTGTGAGTGGAGGTACTGTTGCTACAGTCGTGGTGCCTGTTTAATGCCGTACAACGATTTTCGGAGACGACATACGCTCGGTGGGTTAGTAGCATAGGAATGCGGGTACTCTACCAGGATGAGTGCGTCGACGGGCGCGTAGAGAAGCGCATTTGCCACGTCGATTTATCGAAGTCGTAGATTACGGCAGGCGGCGACACAGAGTAGAATCTGAACGCTCGTATGCCGGCCGATAGGAGCAAAGGTTAGTTCGTAATCGATGTCGTAAGTTTGCTCGAACCCGCGGACGACCCTTCGCGCCTTGTATTTCTCAAATGACCCATCTGCATTGGTCTTGACGCGGAAGACCCATTTGCCGGCAAGTACCTTCTTCCCTTTTACTTCTGAAGTAGGTATTAAATCCCATGTGACACGATTCTTAAGAGCTGCGAGCTCCTTGTCCATGACTTCGCGCCATTTTTCTCGGTGAGGGCTCGTAAGAGCTTGTCGGACGGTTTTCAGTTCAAGTATTTTACTGTCGTTGTACTGTACTGCTACTTCAAATCCAAGTATCTGTAAGCCAGCTTCTGTAAAACGCGGACGTTCTTCGTTTGCACCCGCGAAATTTTCTTCTGGTCCTTCTTCCCCCCCATTTTCGTCAGGTGTAACACGAACTGCTTCGTCAGAGACGGCGGGCATCGGCTGCTGTTGGCGATCGCGTTCGTAACTGAGGTAGACTTCGCGAACGTCATCTGGGTCAGTATCGGCAAGAGGAATAAACTCCGGTATGCCAGTCGAGGTGACAAGTCCGGGAATGTCTATTGCGGCAGTTTCGGATGCTTCAGAAACTGCTTCGTCCTGTACATCAGCCTCGGCTTCATCAGTTGCAAACGCACGCGAGCCTTCGAATAGCCTGGCGGGGTTGGCAGCTGCTGCCTGATGGGCACGAAAAACGGGCAAGGTGAGTCTTTCATAGAAAAGACAATCACGTGATGGGACGATTTGGTTGGAGCGAAGATCCAAAATCTTCCATGCGTGATACTGTTTTTCGATGCCGAGATGTACCCCCTATTTTGCTCGTTCTGAAAACTTCCCGAGTGCTGCAGTTGGAGGACGAAACTGCACGACACACCCAAACACTCATAAAATTTTGGTACTTCCCACTGTGCGTGTCCACTGCAGGTGCGGAGAGGAAAACTCGGGCATGGACGTTGAAGAAAGAAGATTGTGTAACAGCACGGCGAGGTCCATCGCATACGGCCAAAAATGCGGTGGAAGGGCTGCCTGTGACAGCAGAGCATGCATCTTCTCCTGCAGAGTTCTGTTCATCCTTTCTGCTACCCCCATATGTTGGTGTGCATACGGCAGGGACTGCTTCCGTTTGATGCCGAATATCTGAAGGTATTATGTGAAAGTGTTGCTAGTGTACTCCCCTGCACCATCGCTCTGGAATTCTTGCAGTTTCACACCAGACTCTCGTTCAGCGGCAGCGAGCCACGCGACGAAGACGGAGTGAAAGCGGAAGTCGGGCTTCTGAAGCTACGGAATCTTTGTTAGGAAGATTCTAAGCACACGAGTGCTTATGTCAATTCCTGATTCTAGTGGAGTGATTCTAGGAGCGGGTTGTGTTGAGTGACCCGCTGGGGTTGCCCTTGAGATCCTCGGGGAAGGGTCACAGGTGCAGAGCCTGGGGGGCTATGGGCGCACTAACCCGCTATTAACAAGCCCTTTTAACCCAGTGGTTAGTGACTGGGTTTCTTACAGGTTGATTGTAGAACTGTATTGTGTCAATGTCTTTGTTTTATCACCTTGTTTGATAGGTTGTCATTTTGTGGACATGCTGTACTGTGTCAAAAGACTAGCTTAGCTAGGAAGCGATAGAATGGCACAAGGTTTAGCTAGGAGCTAGGAGGAGCCATGAGAATGGCGAGAGGTTTTAGGTGCTAGGAAAGTTGAGGAGAGGAAAAGAGAGTTGGAGTAGGAAGAGAGAGGAGTACAAGGAGGGGTTTGTACCCTCTACAGAAAAGGTTCAGTAACAACCTACCAAGCCTATATAAATTATAACTTATATAATTTTAACACACCCCCTAGGCTTGGTAGTCACACACCCACACACACCCACACCCCCTAACCTAGCACCCCCATTCCAGCCACAGTGACAGCGACTCTAGGTCGGTCGACCCCACGGCGCGTGAGGCGGCGACGTCGACCGCAGGGGCTGCGGCGGCGACGGCGGCAGCGGCGGCAGTGTCGACAGCGGCGGCGGCGGCGGCGTGCGGCTACGTGGCCCCGACGCAAGCGGCGACAGCGGCGGCGGCGGCGGCTTCGACAACAGCGGCAGCGGCGGCGGCACCCGCACCTCTCGGTGACGTGGCCTGGCCCCGCGACTGTGGGACGGCCGGCGGGAGTCAGCCGTCGTCTGCGGAATGGAAGAGGGCGCAGGGGAAGGAGGGGGGGTGGGGGGGGGGGGGGGGGCGGCGCCACAGGCTGACATGCGGGCGGCCGGTCTAGCGGCGCCACAAGCGTCACGCGGCCGGCTGCAGCCCGACGACGCCGTCATGGAGCGGCGTCGATGCCGCAGCGGGGCGTCGACGCTGCGACGGCAGCACGACGTCGCTGGTACGCCGACTGCGCGCTGTCGCGTAGACGCCGCGGCAGGGTGACGGCGCCGTCACGTCGCGACAGCATCTTGACGCGACGGCGGAGCTGCGGCACGACGGCGCGGCCACAGCAGCTGGACGCGGGCGCCATGGACGTCGACGGCGGCGCCGCGGCACGACGACGCGGCCACAGCAGCTTGACGCGGCCGCCATGGCAGCGCGAGATAGAGAGAGAAACGAGCACGCAGCGGAAACGCGAGGAGCAGGCCCACACGGAACGAACTGCTCTAATACCATGTCAAAAGACTAGCTTAGCTAGGAAGCGATAGAATGGCACAAGGTTTAGCTAGGAGCTAGGAGGAGCCATGAGAATGGCGAGAGGTTTTAGGTGCTAGGAAAGTTGAGGAGAGGAAAAGAGAGTTGGATTAGGAAGAGAGAGGAGTACAAGGAGGGGTTTGTACCCTCTACAGAAAAGGTTCAGTAACAACCTACCAAGCCTATATAAATTATAACTTATATAATTTTAACATACTGATCATGCACCCCCCTTTCAACCCTACTTGCGCCATGAGTTGGTAGTGCGAGCGAAGGTCTCATAGCAACCCGACTCCGATATAGCCACTCTGATGTGTTTGTATGTCATCTCGTCTGGTCTCGGTTGTTTATGGTGTTAAATATTTGATTGTTGCACCTTCACTCATAACAACCTCATGTTATAGCATGAACCAATGTCTAGCATTGAAGAACTGCTGCGTGAGTGAGGTGTAGAACGCTTTATTATAAATATACATTGGGATGTCCGCTACAATTGTGCTGGAAAATACACCTTCGAGGCATTCGGTTTGGCGAGGGGACCTTCCTTACACCTCGCAGTCACCGAAGCACAGACGTCGCACACCGCGTCGTCGGCTCGTCGCACAAGCGTCAATCTCCTCGCTGCCCCCCTTGGCCGAATTGTCCCTCGCAGCAGCCCTGTTTCATGCGAAACCCAGCTGGTTTCTAAGAAGCTATGTGTTCGCGTCTCGTTCGCCCTCCCACAACCGCATCGTAAGTTGCCGTGGCGTTATAAGGCCAGCCGTCATGCGCCGAAGCGGCGCGACACGGCCGTTTGGCGGCGACTTAGCTTCCTCGCGTGTCGATTGGAGAGACACTACCACGCGTGCTTCTAGGCGTTATTGCGAAGGGGCGCTCCGGCCAGGGTGATCTGGCCAGGACGATCTGGCCAGGACGATCTGGCCATGACATTCCTCTAGCTCTCACTAGCCTACAAATACGGCTTGGCTCAAGTCTACATTCATTACCACAACCTTCTAGCAACCCAATACGACTTCGAAGCTTCCAGCCCAGCAAGCGACGACAGGCCAAGCAACAACTCTAGCTACCAGCCACCCGATCCCGCTCAAATCCCGTGCATTAACAGCCGAGCAATTGATCGCTCTCTAAGTTAGCGATTCGCGTGCACCATCCGCAAATCACGCGCTCCGTTCTCAACCCGCGTGCATCTTTGGTGCGAATTTGCGAAACCATCCGCAAGGCTGCAACACATCACGTAAGGACACAGCACATCACGTCCGAGGCTCGAAGCAATCACCGGGAATGGCGGCGCGGCTCGGAGGCGGCTTGCTCCTAGCCCTAGTGGTAGCCACATGCATAGCGGCAGCGCGCGTGCCGGGCGGCAGCGCGCAGAAGGCGCCTGCTCCGCCGACGAAGGCGCAGCTGCGCGCGGAGCTGCAGGCGATGACGAAGAGCATCGTGAAGCGGTACCCGCAGTACTCCAGATACGCGCAGGACGCCTCCAAATACATCAACCTCGCCCGTAAGAACCCTAATCTCATCCCATTCTCATCCCATTCCCATCCCTCCTCGTCTACGGGTGGTTCTAGATACGCGCAGGACGCCTCCAAATACATCAACCTCGCCCGTAAGAACCCTAATCTCATCCCATTCTCATCCCATTCCCATCCCTCCTCGTCCACGGGTGGTTCTAGATACGCGCAGGACGCCTCGAAATCCATCAACCGCGCCCGTAAGACCTTGGTTGGGCCGTTCCTTGTTGGTCCCTTCCCCTCCGCTCGTCGAAACCAAGTTAACTCTTCTTCCCTGCCCCGCCCCCTCCCCTTCCCTCCCCTCCCCTCCCACACCCCTTCCGCTCCCCTCTCCCCCCCCCCTCCTCCCCCCAAAATCATTTTCTTTTTCCAAAATCACTCGCTCTCACTCCTCCTGTCTCCCCCGCCCCCCCCCTCTTCCCCAGTCAACTCGAGGTACGACCTATCAGCGCTGCGAGACGCGTCCATCCTGATCCCCAACAACGCGCACGCAGAGGCCCTCGCCAAGAGGATCCCCGCTAAGAGCAGCAGCATCCCCACGGTGTACAACATCACAGCGTTCCACATCCTGCGCAAGCGCATGACCGTCCCGCAGCTGCGCCAGGTGAAGCAGCGGGTGGCGGTGGGCACGCAGCTCCGGCAGCCGGTGTTCAAGATGACGGCGGCGAATAGCAGCGCGGTGTCGTTTGCCAAAGGGCCGTATTTGAAGCAGGCACAGTGGACCACGATCCGCATCCCCGGGCTGTATGTGGGCCGCTGGTTCATTGCCCATGGGGTCGACCGCATGCTCATCCCCACTCACACCAAGATTTGATGATACTGTACAGTTGGGGGGGGGGGGGGAGGAGAGACGGGGGAGGGGGGGGAGGGGGCAGACGAAGAGGGTATGTGGGGGGCGAGGGGAGGGTGATGCAGAGCTTGAAGAGTGGAAGAAAGAGGAAAGCAAGCATGCGTGCCTTGCTTGCAGGTCAATGCAGTGCGCCCTTCCAGTGCTGCAGCAGTGCAACATTAGATAGCTCAGAAGAACGCTCTCTCTGCTGACCGTGCTCGGTGCTGGAATGCCGCACTGCATTGCCTTCATACATGAAACACCTCGCTAATATATTTTCGCTAGCACCTTGCTTCATAGATGCCTTCGTGTTGAGCTTGGAATTGGAGAGGGCGGTGTACTGAAGCAAGTGAAGCTAAAGCTCCCAACTGGATGGCCCAACTGACGTGCTGCTGCCTTACTACCAGAGATTCGTGTGGATATTTAGGGATAACCAACTAGCAAATTGGTTGATATTTCTAGTACCATACAAGTAGTTTACAACTGCAACACATTTCGTCCCATCACGTTGGTACCTCACCTCATGCTGTGCTACCCTACATGCTCCCCCCATCCCATCCCGCCCTCCTCCCACCTCAGTTCCCCAACGCAGAACCCGTGTCTAGCTGGTATGTTTAGGCACCAAAACGACCACACTGCTTGCAGGTGCCACTACCCATATACGCTCCATGCCCTGCCATCTAAGCTTGAATGAAATAGTTTCCTCTTGACTATGCCCCTCACCTGCCTGCCCACACCCTGCTTCTCCCGTGCCGCTCAAATGTGCAACACTCCTCTTGTGCATCGCTTCCCCCGCTATCTGAAACCATCACTCCTCCCCTGCTTCTCCTGCCGTCTGCTCCCGGCCGCATCTGCACCAGTCCCCCTGCGCCCCTGCCCCAGTCCCCCTGCCCCTGTGCCAGTCCCCCAGCCCCCTGCGCCAGTCCCCCTGCCCCCTGCGACCCCCCTCCCCTCCTTTCCTCTATGCTGCAACCTGAAACCCTCACTTTCCCCCAGCTTGCTTCTCCTGCACCTGCTGCCTCATCTGCGCTAGCCCCCTCACCTCCTCTGCAGTGGGGGGCCGAGGGCCCTCGGGGGGATAGATCACATAGGCGCGCTGTGCGGTTGGGGGAGGGGAGGGAATAGACAGTCCGCAGAGGGGGTTCACGAGGTGCGTAATAACCGATCCCTAGACCCCCCCTGCAGCGGGGAGCACACCAGGGGGCAGATCACGTAGGGCCCTCTGGAGGGTAGATCACATAGGGCCCTCTGGAGGGTAGATCACATAGGCGCGCTGTGCGGACGGGGGAGGGGAGGGAATAGACGGCGTGCGGATGGGGGAGGGGAGGGATTAGACGGCGTGCGGATGGGGGAGGGGAGGGATTAGACGGCGTGCGGATGGGTTTTACGAGGTGAAGAAAGAACCAGACATCCTCTGCAGTGCGGAGCTGAGGACCCTCTGGGCGGTGGATTACATAGGCGTGATGTGGGGATGAGGGAAAAGGGGACTTGAGAAAGGATGCGTGAGTGTATGTGTGCATGGGGGGAGGGGGAAAGGAGAGAGAGACGCAGAGACAGAGGGGGAGAGAGGGAGAGAGAGTGGGGTAATGGATTGAAGGGGGTGGGCAGGGGGAGAGGGGGGTTACCAGATGCAGGGGGAGAAATAAGAGGAAGGGCGAGAGAAATAGAAATGACAGATAGATGAAGGGAGAACGGGAGGGCGAGAAGGACGGGGCTGGTTCGCATGTTCAATTAGGCGATGAGTATCGAACATGACACAGCACGACACGACACGACACGACACGACACGATACGATACGACACGACACGACACGACACGACGCGACGCGACAAGACAAGACACGGCACGGCACGGCACGGCACGGCACGGCACGACACGACACGACACACGACACACGACACAGCACGGCATGGCACGACACGACACGACACGACTCACGAGGTTGATGGCTCGAGGTTGGGGTCGAAGCGGTACTGAACTCACGTGTTGAGACGTCTCAAAACTCGATTATTATCACAAGGCAAGAGGTGGTACTAAGCTCACGTTTCGGATGATGGCTTCGAGGTTGTCCTGGTTATTGGCGAAGACGATCATCATGGCGATGGGGATGCCCACGTAGCACGTGAACTTGAACGCCTCCAGGAACCCCTTCCGCGGCCCCTTGAACGACATGCTGCCGGCTGTCCTCGCCTGGTATGCTTTGAGCCGACTCAAAACACGCTGTCCTCGAGGTAAGTTGGTTTTTGAAAACTCTCAAAAACCAACAAAATACGCTGTCCTCGCCGCTCCCGCTTGCTTGCTTCTATCGCGTTCTCTGCCCGCTTCAAGCCGAAAAGCAAGGAAAGTTTCCTCTCTGTTCGATTTCCCTCTGTCGACTTTCCCCTCCTCCTGCCTGCTTCCGCCTTCTCAACCTGCTATGGAGAATAGCGTGCCTCCCGTACTCGCTACTAGCGCCTGCAACCTTGTACTTCGAGCGCCAGCCGCTTTAGGAGCGGGTGGAGTTGAGGACGAAAGAATACGGTCCAGGATCAGAGCGAAGTCGTTAGTAAGTAGTACTACCGCTGGGCTAGGGCGAATACGCGGAATCCCTTCGACGGGAAGAATGACCCAGCTGCGACTGCGATACGACCTTCGTATTAGTGGTGGCCAGGCCACTGGCCATGGCTGCCGCACGTCCTTTCCGAGGAAGGTTCGGCCATACGGGTGTGCTTCCACGTTGGACACTCGGGTCGTGTTCTAGTTGCGTTTTTCAAGGAGCAAAAAGTGTAGGATTTGTCTGTAGCTTGTTACATCTGTCATGCTACGACGAAATTAGGTGTTTTTATCTCTGTAGATCTACACTCACAGCTTATGCTTGACGATCTAATCGGGGCACTCAGAATCGTGCCCCTTCCGTCCCGTTGAGCACAGTGCCGTTCTGTCCATTCATTCGTTCAGACCCCGCTTCTGTTGCAGATCTCACCTTCCCCGTCGCTGCTGCCTGTCTGCAGAATTTGAGGCGGGTAAAGGAAAATGGACGGTGGGGATAGCCTCAAATCTCGACTCAGGCAGGCCTCGATTCTCGACCTGGGCTTTGAATTGCCATTGCCGCTTTCTCAATCCAGATCTCGCCGTTGATGCATGATACTCGCTAGAGGCTCTAGATTCTTGTTCGACTACTACTTACTGTGCCCTGGCACCCGCTTAGGAGGTGTTTCCTGATGGTGGTTCGTTTCTCGATTGGAAGCCCTGTAATTCTCCCAACAAGCTCGCCTAGACAGTCTAGCCACAAAGCCCATACTAGAGACGCCACGTCCAGCGACGATATTGCAGCCGTAGATGCAGGTGACGTGTCAGTTCAGACTTCCCGACTGTTATCGCAGGGTTCAGAGTCACCTAATAGTTAGTTCACACGGGCCGCTAACACCGCTGACGCCGCGGATGAAAGCGATCTCATGCGTCAAGTAGCTTGGCGCTAGTTACGTAGCGCGATGACGCGGATCCGTAGTATCTTGCCATCGTTGGTGCATCATCGCTCGGACGACTCTTAGAGCGACCGCTCATCTTGGAGGATACCACCATCCCTACTCCTTCAAGGCTACACGCCATGGGCACCTCCTTTGGGTCGTGAGAATTCTAGAAAACCAGCTCATCTTGGTCGGTTCCAGCGCCGCACCTCCTTCAAGGCTGCAGGCCATGGTGTCCGTGAAGCCGCTTAATTCCAGATCCTTCCAGAATCGAACGGTTTGCAGCCCACGAAAGCCACGTGATTCCTGGTTTCGACCGAGCATGATCAATCCAACCAGTCTATGGCGGATTGGCAAAGGCCGGGTCGCGATCCAAGCGGCTTTCATCGCGTTCTTCGCGCTGAACGCGGTTCTCGCGGGGCTCTACGCGACCGGCTTTTTTTCGAGCGAATCACTGGAGAAGCAGCGGGAGGAGATCGTCCATCTATGGCAGTCCTGCATCTACAACCGCTTCGCCCATATCCACCGCTTCCAACACCCCTTTCTCCGCCCCGAACCGTGCTCCGATCTCACCATGGCCGCCGCGAAACGCGGCGAAGAAGGGTTGAAACGAGCGCGATCCTCGCGGGTTCCTGGCTACTACCACCCGGATATTGTCGACGGGTGTGCTTCTAACGAAGGATCGGCGGCATTGACAAAATCTTCTAGAAGTTCGACGGAGGGGTGTCTGGTCGAGTGGGTGGTGTACTCCACGGAATGCGGAGTGAATCTGAACCGTCTAGCCAAGCTCTGCCACGTGGCAGGCATTCCGTTAGCCGTGGTCGGGCTGAACACTATGTGGAGGGGTTTCGGCGGCAGGCTCCGGATTTTCAGGGACTATCTGCACTCTTTACCCGCAGACAGAATCGTTATCGTGTCGGACGCTGATGACGCGTTCATCTTGCCAGCTCAGCACTGCCGGCCAGTTGACATTATCCAGAAGTTCCTGGATCTGGGGTCTCCGATGGTTTTCGGCGCGGAAAAATACTGCTTCCCTGAATGGTGGCTTTATGAAGATTTATACCCGAAGCCTTCTCGGGAAACCCCTTTTAAGTTCGTTAACGCTGGCACTTATATGGGGTTCGCATGGGCTGTGGCCAGCGCGATTGACGCTGCTTACATAGGCGACTGCCTGGACGACCAACGGCAGTTCATGCTCGTCTTCCTCGGGCAGGACAAACTTTTCAAGGGCCTGCCCCGTACCCCGACCCCGTTCCCTCAAGGCAAAAAATTCTCCCGCGTGAAAAAGCCTCCGGTGGTCACCCCTTCCCTGGTCCTACCTCCCCCTTCAGCAGCAACCAACTCCAATCCCAACTCCGCTTCTTCCCTCTCCCCCTCAGATGGACCTGATTTAAATGCCAGCAGCCCGCCTCTGTTTATCCAGCTTGACTATTTCAACTCCATTTTCCACCTACTGGGAGGGTATGGCGCAGAGGCGTTGGAGATAGAGGGGGATGGGAGAGGGGGGCGGAGGGAGATGCGGGTGCGGTCGAGGTTCACGGGGGGGGAGGCGTGTGTGTTCCACCAGCAGGGGAACAAGACAGGCGACCTATCCATGTTTGACATATTCAATGTCACGGGGATGGAGGTGCTGTTCTGATGCTCACAGGGGGGTGGAGTGGGTGCTGCTTCAGCGAGCTCTTGTGAGGTGGCTGTTAGTTTGAACCGGGAGCCACTGTCACGAGACGACATATTCAATGTCACGGGGATGGAGGTGCTCTTCTGATGCTCTCAAGCGGGGAGGTGTGTGTGTTCCACTAGCAGGGGAACAAGATGGGAGATTGTGCCTTGTTTGAAGTGTTCAATGTCTCAGTCAACTCCATGTTACAGACCCAATGTTCGACGCTACCGGGATGTAGATGCTGCTCTGAGTGAGCTCTTTCTGTCTGTCGCTCTGATTTCTTCACTGGTTTGCAGGGGGCCTGTCTGATACGCATCTGATGCTGCAGGCTCAAAGGTGCTGCTGGGTCAATGATACATGTGGATGCTATGCTACAACTACCAGATTAGTAAATACCAAGACTAAATATTACCATACATGATAATTGTACTCCCCCCTCAGTCCCTCAGTTCAATTTGTCAAATTATATATTTATATGTATTTTTGTGAAGGCTTGGTAGTTGTGCTACATTGCTAGATCCTACTGTAGAGGGTGTTGTGATATAACTGATACTTAGCATTTCTGTAAGTCGATTAAGTGTAGTTAGTGTCGAATCCAACTGTAGAAGATAAGTCCGTAGGATGACGTCAGCAAATAGCGCTCGTCATAGGACAGTCGTTTCAGTCACGCGAACAGTCGCACCCCTTCATTATCATCTAGGGCGCATAGCGCGATAGTGACGAACAGGTACATTAGCGAATAGGTAGTTTTAGTAGAACTATAAATCTCTGTTAGGTCTTTTTTTTCATTATTAACTTTGCTTACTCACAAGTTCACGTACTCAGGTTATTCAACCTTGACCTTTACATTTTACAAGACTTCCGCTGTCTTACTAGTCTACCATTCCAGCAAAGATCCTGGACCAACACTTGAGGATTTGCCAAGTGTTCGTGTTTATAGTTTTATACTTAGTCTATTACAACACCTGTCGATTTATTTCATGGTATGAGAGCTATTTGGAATTAAGACTACCGTCAAATATGACTGGTTCAACATCAGCACCATCTGCTGGATCAGTTACTGGGACTACTGGAGCACATGCCTCCACTACCACTGCTGGTCTCTCAGCTTCTGGGCACTTTCCACCAGCCTACGCTAATATCGGTATGCAGAATCCGCCTCCTGTGAATACTCCAGGTGCTCCATCGACTGCACCTGCAACGCAACAGCAACAATCACAGACAACAGCACAGCAACAAGCATCAGTACAGCCACCAGTTTCAACGCAATCAATTTCATCTGTGTTCAGTGGAATGAGCCTTGACGGCTCAAGTTACATGCGTGGAGCTACAGCTCCAAATACTGGTTCGTTCGCTTTCTCACCTTTCGTACAGCAGCCGCAGTCGCAGCAGTTTCAGCATCCCTTTTGTGTCTTCGGACGTCCTCCTGCTCAGCAACCACAGCAAGTACAGCAACAGCAACAATAGCAACAGCCATGCATTGTTTTTCAGCCTCCAAATTTACTTAATAATACTCAGATCAAGACAACCGTACCTTTTAATGGTGTTGACTTCTACTCCTGGAGCTTTGAGTTTGAACTTCTGGCGCAGTCCGCTGGGCTATGGCCGTTCTTTACTGGCGAATTTACGTATCCTGTCGTGGGAACACAACTGGAGCGGCAGAGTTTCTTGCACGCCTCTCTCGGAGCGTATACAGTTCTTGTACGGAACTTGTCGCCGAAGGAGCAGCTCGGCGTTTGATAATTTCACTCAAGTTTCACACCAGCCGAAACTGCATGGAATCATCTGAAAGGGGTATACATGGCAAAAGATACGATAATAGTGAGTAAAATACTTTCGCAGCTGACAAGTGTGCAGATGATGACAAACGAAAACGTCATGGACTACGTTAACTGCGTCCGTACATTACGTGACCAACTGGAGAAAAGTGGGGGATACTTCCCTCGTGAGATGTATCTCACGGTACTTCTGGCTGGTCTTGGACCCGAATGGCGTAAGACGCGCGCCTTCCTGCGCATGAACCAGTATCTTTGTTATTCAACCAGCATCCGTAGGATGACGTCAGCAAATAGCGCTCGTTATAGGACAGTCGTTTCAGTCACGCGAACAGTCGCACCCCTTCATTATCATCTAGGGCGCATATCGCGATAGTGACGAACACGTACATTAGCGAATAGGTACTTTTCGTAGAACTATAAATCTCTGCTAGATCCTACTATAGATGGGACAACCCCCCCTTCTTGTATCTCCTAGTCTCTCCTTTTTTCTCTCGTAACTTTTCTCCTAGCACTTAACCCTTTCCATGCCATTTCCATGGCTCCTCTCCTTACCTAGCATGTTTAACATGTTGTGATATATTTCATACTTAGCATTTCTGTAAGTCGTTTATCGCTAGAAAGTGTCGAATCCTACTGTAGAAGATAAGTTTGTAGGATGACGTCAGCAAATAGTGCTCGTCATAGGACAGTCGTTTCAGTCATGCGAATAGTCGCACCTCTCCATTATCATCTAGGGCGCATAGCGCGATAGTGACGAACAGGTACATTAGCGAACAGGTACTTTCCTAGAGCTATAAATCATTGTTGTGTCCTTTTTATTATTAACCTTGAAATTTCAACTTTGAGACTTGACCTTCCGCAGAATTTTATATTCAGGTTCACTCTTACAAGACTTCCGCTGTCTTACTAGTCTACCATTCCAGTAAAGATCCTAGCCTAACACTTGAGGGATTCCTAGTATTCGTGCTTGCAGATTCTCTACTTAGTCTCCTGCAACACCTGTCAAATTCAAATTATTACATAACATAGTACCAGAGCAGGCCCTTCCGCTCGGGCCTTCTCCTCACGCTTGTGCCTCGTACTCTCCTCCCTCCTGTCACTTCCGCGCCGCCGTGGCAGCCATGTCGTGCTGCCATGGCGGCTCCGTCATGTTGCCGTGGCAGCCTCGACGCGCTGCCGTGGTGGCGCCGTCGTGCAGCCGTGGCAGCGTCGACGTGCTGCCGTGGCATCGATGTGATGCCATGGCGGTGTCGACGTTCTGCCGTGGGCCGCGCGCCGCTTTAGGCGCCACGCCAGCCATGGCGCCTCGCTGCATATTCGCCCCCTGCCTCCCCTGCATCTCCCCTCTTTCCAGCAGCAGCTGATGCCTTCATACCCGGTCATCGCCGGGTCGTGCCACGCCGCCGGGTGCTGCGAGCTACGAAGTCGCCGCCGTCGTCGTCGAAGCCGCCGCCGCCGCCGTTGCTGTCACCGCTTCGCACGAGAGGTAGAAGCCCCACTTGCTGTAGGACATGGGGGTGCATGGGCTTGTGTTGTTGCGTGTTGGGTGGGCTTGGGACTACCTGTTAGAAACTCAACCACTAACCGCCGAGTTAAAAGGGCTTGTTAATGGCGCGTTAGTGCGCCCATAGCCCCCCAGGCTCTGCACCTGTGGCCCTTCCTCGAGGATCTTCTCAAGGGTAACCTTAGCGGGTCACTCGACACCCCCCCTCGCTCGGATAGGTGGAAGACACAAGCGGCTCTGCAGCGCTAACACTAGGAATGGAATCCGAGTCACCAACGCTCTGATACCATGTCAGAAACTAAGCCACTAACCACTGAGTTAAAAAGGCTTGTTAATAGCGGGTCTGTGCGCCCATAGCCCTCCAGGCTCTGCACCTGTGGCCCTTCCTCGAGGATCTTCTCAAGGGTGACCCCAGCGGGTCACTCGACACTACCTAGCCTAGGGGGTGTGTCAAATTATACATATTTGTGTAGGGTGCTACATTGCTGGATCCTACTGTAGAGGAGACAACCCCCCCTTCTTGTATCTCCTCTTTCCTAGTCTTCCCCTTTTCTCTCGTAACTTTTCTCCTAGCACCTAAACCCTCACGCCATTTCCATGGCTCCTCTCCTTACCTAGCATGTTTAACACAATGCCCTCTGTCCGTGCCATGTGAATGGCAGTGCTGCAAATTTGGTTCACTTGTGGGTGGTTTACAAGCCCCCAAATTGCATACTTTTTACTTTGATTCAGACCTTTTTCAGAGTTTTTTTGGGGGTTTACTCTGATCGCAAAGACCTTTCTTTGTACCTTACTCTGATTTCTCAAAAAATATTTATGAACCAACACTGAGTTTTCAGACTTCTTTTACTACTAGTGTACTCTGATGCCTCAGCCCAATATGGGGTGTTGACTTTGATTCATCCTGTAATACAATGATAGGGGGGAGCGTGATTTGCGCTTGTGAGAGTACGACCCCGTTCCATTCCTTTCTCCTTTCCATTTCATTCCTCTTTTTATCCTGATTCATTTGGTCTTTATCTGATTCCATTTGGATTCCTATTCCCTCTTTTCCATAAAACCTTTGGTTTATCCTGTTATTATCATTAAATCACCGACCAGGCTTGGGATGTACTGGTGCGCTATATCTAGCGTAATCCTGCCGTAATCCCTTAAAGTCAATAGCCTTGCGTGGCTATACGCAGGGTGATTCTATTTTCTAGAAGGGTCTATTCCCTTATAATAAGATAAACCTGGTTACCCGATGTACTCTGGAAGTATAAAAGCGCCTTGTATCAATTGATAGTGCAACCTTTCCTCGACACATTCGATCCTGTGACAGCGCTGGTACCCCTATGGAGGGCGCTGACGGGCACTTAGCCAAAAATCAGGGAGGGCGCGATGCTTGCTGCAGGCTTTGTGAGGGCGCTTACTGGTCCTTCACCAAAATCAAAGGCCGATACGTACTAGGGGCTGTATGAGGGAGCTGTCTGGCCCTTCACCAAAATCACCTCCCTCCCAGTCCGTGTTGGAGGAGGTGTTCTCAGAGTTAGAAAGTTAACTAGAATGGGAGATACAAGGTGCTTTTATGCTAAGGGTTTGTACTCTCTAAGAGTATGCACCTATCTATCCTATAAGACATATACATGTATGTTTTGACACACCCCCTAGGCTAGATGAGGGGCAGTGCCTGATAAGAGACACGCAGCCCAGGGTGGCACTACTAGTCCAACATCTGAGGCAAGGGTCCAAGGACCAGTCAGCAAGAGTACAAACTAAACAAGAGTAATCCAGGGCGGCACTACTAGTCCAGCCATGGGAACAACAGCCACAAGGCCAGTCAAGATAATATAAGAAGAGGTACACAAACAAGGTCATAGCAAGTAGGAAGCTACAGGAACAAGACCAAGCTGTACACAGTGTCGCTCATGATCTTTACGCGCAAGCGCCTTCGTTAAGATATCAACTGTGTTGGCAGCGGAGGCCAAGTGTACTACGTGGGCCTGACGGTGCTCCTGTAGCTCGCGCAGGAGGAAGTACCGCAGCTGTATGTGGCTCTGCCCTCCAGTCAAGGCTCCTGACACAAGAGGATCATGGCCCTGTTGTCAGCGTACAGGACTTGGGCAAATCTAGGCCGCTCACCTAAATCTGTGAGCAAGAAAGTCAGCCAGCGAAGCTCCTGTGCCGCCATGGCACCGGCGTAAATCTCAGCCTCACTGTTAGACTGGGCAACAGGCGACGAGAGGGTGGACCTCCACGAGATGGCATCTGCACCACGAAGCGTCTGTGTGCCCTGTTAGGACCATTGTCATGGGTCCTCCTAGCACTAACCCCATGCCCGATGTTCTTGCTAGATAACGCAAAACCCTCTCAGCGGCCGACCAGTGCTGTGGTCGGTGTGTGCCTGTGGCCACAAAGCGAGCCAGAATGCTGAGACGGTATGCGAGATCCGGATGAGGGCAAGTTATCACGTACACAAGGCAACCCATTAGCTCTGTATAAGGACCACTAGGCTCTACAGACTCCTCAGGGACTAGAGCCGAGAGCGTGTGATCTACTGGCATAGGAGTGGGCAGTGTGGAGGAGAATTGAAGGCCGAACCTTTGAAGGACCTGGCGCACCAAAGTGTGACTGTGTAAGAGTGATGGTGCGCGCTGCTCTGTCCATGGAGATCTGCAGGTCAAGGTAGCGGCGAAGCTCTCCTAGGTTAGTGCAGGTGTGTCTCCTCACCAGCTCAGCCTTCACGAAGGCCAGTGTGTCTCTGTCTGCAGTAGCGAAGACCAGGTCGTCTACGTAGACAAGGATGCAGAACAGGGTCTCGCCAGCATGAACAAAGAGTGAGGGGTCTGCAGACGACGGGAAGAAATGCAGGTCAGCTAACGTAGCACGCAACGTGTCGTGCCACTCACGGGCTGCCTGCCGCAGGCCGTAAACCGGGCGCTGGAGGAGCCACTGGGTCCACGGGGCGAAGGTGCCAGTGAAGCCTGGCGGGCGACGCAGGTAGACCTGCTCGTGTAGACTGCCCTGAAGAAACGCTGTTGAGAAGTCGAGAGACGGTCGGAGTGGAGATGCAGCACGGGGAGGCCGCGGTGGACTCGCGCAGCTACGACTTACGAGATAAGGGCGTCAGGCACGTCGGCCTTATGCTCCAAGGGAAACACTGTGGTGTAGCGCGTGAAGTCGTCGACAAACACTAAAAATTAGGGCACGCGATTCGGCCTCGGGCTAGGGGCGGGGCCCCAACGTCTAGGTGCAGGGTCTGGAGTGGCACAGTGGTAGGGGGGAGCGAGGAGGAGTGGGGAGCATGGCGCAGCCCTCGACGCAGGGCGTGCACGGCGGCGCAGGCGAGGGAGGGAGAGCAGGAAGCGACGTTGGGAGACCATGGACAAGCTCGTGATGGGACATGTGACGCAGACGCGGGAGAGCGGGGTGATCTAGGCGTTGGTGCCACAACAGTGAAGGGTGAATGAGAGACCGACACGAGCAGACTGCAGCTACCTGAGTGGACGCGCCGACCTGGGGGGACGCTCCTATTGGGGGGTACGCAGTGTCCAGCATGAACAGTCCAGATACAGGGTCCCGGGGGAACATGGTAAGAGGGGCACCATTGCGGCCTCGGTACACACGGTGTACTGCTCGTGTCCACAGAACGGCGGAGGAGGGCGGCGGAGAGAGGTAGAGTGAGGTGGAGTGCGGTGGAGAATGGTGGAGTGCGGTGGAGTGCGATGGAGAGCGGTGGAGTGCGGTGGAGTGCATTGGAGAGCGGTGGAGACAGCCGGCAGGAGTGCCGGCTCAGAAGGGAGCCAGGGCCGGTAGGTCGGGGTGGCAGAGCAGG